GGACCACGTGCTGGGGCTGCTGGTCTGAGGGAGCCCAGGACCCTGAGCTGGGGCTGCTGGTCTGAGGCGGCCCGGGACCACGTGCTGGGGCTGCTATACCAGGCTGCACTGGTCTCTCTTCAGTAGCTGAAGTGTTAGGCACCTTGCTGCCGACAGCAGTCTGGTTGGGTGTTTTTCAAAAATTCTTCTAAGAAAATAGGTGGGGATTTCCAGTCTGACAGGTAAAGAGCTTAGAAATCTTGACTCCCGTCCTCGCGACAGGAAGAAAGGAAAAAAACAATAAAATGTACCGCAGTAGAGAAAGTGGTGAGAGTGTTAGACGCTGGTGAGGTCTGCTGAGAAGGACCCTGCCCCTCAAGCCGACCAGCGGGGAGGGAAGGTTCTTCTGGTCAGGGGGCGTTCACGTCAGGCCTCGTGTGCAGGGCACTTGGAGTCACGCAGGATGAGTCAGAGCACATCTTCCCTTTCCAGGAAAGCCTGTGGCAGAGACGCCGGAAGTGGTTGAACCGTTCATTTTCTGTTCTGAACTCATGGTTTGACTCTCTTCTTTCATTGAAGACCTTTCCCAAAATTCCTAACCGTCCTTGTCTTTTCTCTGGGAAGCCTCGAGATGTTGCTGTTGTCTTCTGTTTTTATGTGACCCCCTGTGTTATTTCCGCTGGCAGTCAGCTTCTGAAGGCTCCCCGGGCTCTCTCTGGGAGTGCCAACAGCCTGCTAGCCTGCTCCTCGAAGAGCGGGGCAGGGATCTGAAGAACTTAGCCCTGAGGGCCGAGTAGGCTCAGGCGGCTCCAGGTTTGGCAGGAGGGGCCCAGCTCTTCCCCCGGGCCCTGTGCCCCTGTGAAACCTCCGAAGTCTCCAGCACAGGCTCCTGTCACTGTGGACAGGCATTGAACAAAGCCCCACTTCAGTGGGGGACTTGCGCCCCCACGGTCCGAGGCCCCGTGCTAACCCGCCCTGTTTCCCGCAGTGTGCTGGAGAAGAGAACTGGGTGGACAGTCGGACCATCTACGTGGGACACAGGGAGCCCCCGCCTGGTGCTGACGCCTACATTCCACAGAGGTACCCCGACAACAGAATAGTCTCCTCCAAGGTAACTTGGCCCTCTGCCTGTCTGTTAATTTCCTAACAGAACTCCTTTGGGGAGTACTAGAACTTTCTGACCGAGTTACCAGCACTGCTCCTGGAACTGCTGTCCAGCTGCTGTCCACTCTCCACTGAGGGCTGTGATTCTGCACGGGGCTTGTGCACTCCTTATTCCTCTGGGTGTCCCCAAAGCACTGTTAAGATTTGCCAAGATGTCACAGCACATTTCCTTCAGTTCTCTTTTAATAATATCGTGGATATAGTGTCAAATTTGAAGTCCCTGCTACTGCCCCTTACTGATTTGCTATCTGGCTGTGCACCAGTCGTGAACCCCCCCAGGCCAGAGTTTCCTCATCTGTGAAGTGGAGATGATGCTGTGTGCAACCACACTGAATACGTGTCAGAGTCTGTCAGTTAGGTGCAATCAGTGCAAAGAGGAAGAAGTATGGTTAGAGTGTCATCATTTAAATGAAGTGTCTTGTTTTCGTTGACTGGAAAGTGGGACTAGAGACAACCTTTACACAGTTGGAGAGAAACCGGTAAATGTCTTGAGAATAGGGTGGAGAATTTAGTAGCTGGCCTTGAACAAAAAGTACATGATGGCTTTCCAGATCATGGAGAACTTTCCCTTTAGCTGTATACACGTGTGTGTCCCCTTAGATGTATACACGCGTGTGTCCCCTTAGATGTGTACGCGCACGTCCTCTTAGATGTGTACGTGCGCGTCCCCTTAGATGTGTACACGCGCATCCCCTTAGATGTGTACGCGCGCGTGTCCCCTTAGATGTATACGCACGCGTCCCCTTAGATGTATACGTGCGCGTGTCCCCTTAGATGTATACACGCGTGTGTCCGCTTAGATGTATATGAGGCATGGACACATGCCTGGGTGCACTAGATGTGTAGATCTCTGATACTTCATCCACATATAGGTATCCAGGATGTGTAGACTGTGTGGTAGACCTACTTAATCCACACACGAGTGTGCTGGATGTGTAGACTGTGTGGTAGACCTACTTCATCTACACGTGGGTGTCAAAGATGTGTAGACTGTGTATTAGACCTACTTAATCCACACATGGGTATGCTGTACATCTAGCTCTGTGTGGTAGACCTGCTTAATTCTTCTATGAGCTATCAAAGAGTGCCCCATGTTTGTTAAGAAGACTTGAGAACAGAGAAGCTTCGCTTTTCAAGGCAGTTGTTTTTTAATGAATTATTTCATTTTAAAACTGCAATGTAAAATAATAATAATAGTTTTAATCTCCAGAAACACAACATGGGTAAGTAAATGGCTCATAAACAAAATCCCAACGGAATAAACATAGTCCGTGGTTGCCCAGATGTGATCAACGGAAGGAGAAGTAAACGGGAGGAACTGCATATCCAAAAACAGGTCTTTCAGGTAGCGACATTTATACATTTGACGCCGTCTCACATAAAGCTCACTAAAGATGATTTCTATGCAGATATGCACTCTGCCAAGCCACTAGCGTGCCCAAAAAAGAAAAACATCTCAAACATATTTCTTAAAAATTTACTCTTGTGCGTACCAATACATCAAGAAATGGGAAGAGCGCTAATAAACCTTAAGATATGCCAGGTGCGCACCTGTCCAGAGTCCGGGGTACAGGTGATGGGACAGGAAACCGCCCCACGCTGCCCAGTGTCTGGTTTGTGTAGGACATTTGTCAGAGGCACCTCGGCCACTGATACGTATCCCCTGGCAGCTGGGCTCTCCCTCCAGGGACAAAGCTTGGGCCTTGAAAGTCCCAGCCCCAGGCTCCTTCAGCTTGATAGGGAAAGTTCTCGATAGGGCCATGCAGAGGAAACTTCTGTAACCAAAGCACCTGGTTGATTGGCGCTGTCAAGGACCTTCTTGATGTGTTTGGTAGAATGTAACTGGAAGCTGAAGGATACTTTATTTATCATAAAAGCTTTGTCAGCGTTTTGAGGGAGATAACTGAAGGCAGTGATTTCTAAATCCCATTCCTGACCCCTTTGTTACCTGATTCAAGTTTCAGAGCCAATTTATTATTTTTATGTTTATTTTTTCTAAGTGCCCCATAGCCAGTAGCCAGCGATGAGTTTGAGATGCTTTGTCTCACCTTCTCGCTCTAGAAACCACCATCTGTTCTCTCCCTGCGGTGGCACCTTCTCGTCCCCAGCTGCCCTACATGAACCAGAGCCCCCAGAGCCTCCTTGGTTTCTGACAAAGGAAACCCTGTGCTGGGGAGGTCGTGAGGGTGGGTTTGGATACAGACTTGCAGGTTCCTGGGGGCCTTTTCAAAGCTGTTTCTCCTCAGGAAAGTTCCGTCGTTCCAGGAGGCTCTGGAGTAGGAAGAACTAAGAGAATTAAGTCAGCTTCTTTTCAGGAGGCAGATCAGGCTGATCCACCCAGAAGAAGGTCGAGTTCAACAGCCTTCATCTCAGGCCAGCGTGGAAAGGAGCCTGTGCTCTCAAATTCGTGCCTGTGCAGGGAGTGATCTTCATTCCTCAGAGAGGCAGGATCAGTGGCTTACTGTCAGTTCCAAGTGGATGATGGCGTGTAATTTTAGGAAAAATTACGTATAACACAACCTCTATTACTTGTCAGATTCGGTACGGAAGGGGCCCTCAGCAAGACGAGGACTTAGCATCTGAGCCAGTAGCGGGGTGGACAGGGGCATTGATTTAGATCACCTGACGTGGAAATCTAGAGCACAAAGTTGTTTTCATTTAGAAACACCTCAGGATGTGTGAAAAGTACCGTTTAATTTCTGTCTGTAGAAGCGCCGCTGTTGGTGAGCGGGGATTGGTCTGAGTCCCGTTTCCTTTTGGGGGAGACGCACTGGGCGGTGTCTGGCCTTGTCTACTGACCAGATGCGGTCCTGACCGTATGGCTGCCTGAGCTCCCCGTGCAGGCAGATGCTGGACTCAAGGGGACGATGGGGCACTCCTTCATCAATTTCATGGAATTGTACTTTTGAGCACAGAGTTCATGTGGCTCCCAGCTCTGCCCTCAGGACACCACAAAAGTAATATTAGGCTCGGCTGATACTGTCACTCCATACCTTTAAGAAAGCTGAATTACTTTTGGTTATTGAGAAGGGAAAATTACCAATCTACCAATAGTAGATACAGGGAGTGTTCCATGTCAATCACATCATCTAAGCTCTAAAACAACCCTGTGAGGCCACTCTTACTTACTATACCCAGCTTATTCCCGAAGACACTGAGCCTCAGAACAAAGCCAGTGAGCTGCCCCTTACCCACGTGTCTGACCCTGAGCCCGGCGCTCCCTCTGCAGTGCCAGCATTACCTCTTATGAGCCCATCATGATGCTCATCCATTTTCTAACATCAGTGATCAGGAATTTGGGCATAATTTTGTTTTTACATCCCCATCTCCCACTCGTAAGTGAAAGAGAAACCTCAACTCCATGTGAGTTGATGGCCTTCCCCGGGATATCAGTGACTGGCCCAGTGCATTTTTAGGACTGTCCCATGCACAGCTGTGGTGCTGGATCCGTTTCCAGGTACATGAGGGCCCAGGCTTCAGGTTGTTTCCAGGTGCTCTTGTTTGACTTCCTGGCAGCTGGTGGAGAAGAATGGCCCCAGGGCTTATCTCCTAGAGTTTTTCTTTTCACCATGTGACTAAAGGTAGATCTGGTGTGACTTTCTTCTTTGTCATGAACCACACTCCCAGCGAGTCACACAGAACCAGAGGTGACTCACACAGAGGAGGAGAGAGTGGGCAGAACCGAGCTCAGATGCTCATGAGGCGTTCTCATCTCGCTGACTAACCCTGAGCATATGCAAAGACTTCGAGTGTGAAGTTTTTTGTGATGTGAAAGAGATGCAAGGAATAGTAATTGTCTTGTATAGTTCATCATCCTTCCAAATGGCTGTTATAGTAAAGAGAGATGCTCTAATCAACTCAGATTTCACAGCTTCCTTATAGCAGAAAAAACCCAGTTTATTCTGTGCTTGTGTCTCGATACCAGGGGTTCCAGTAATAAGTACTGTTCTACTGATTGTATCACAACAGAAGGTAGGACTTGATACCTGAGTATAGGTCAGAGGATTACATTATACTGTGACCCAGAAGTCTAAGCAAATGTTTAGATTATTACACTTTAACAAGGATGAAAAATGTACCATTGGCCCACCACTGTCAGTTCACCAGCTCTTATATGTGTAATGAAACGCTCATTTTATTTTGTCTGTGTGGCACTGACGTATCAGAATGGTCATGAATGTTTATATTACCTCATTGGTTCCTCACTTTTCTTACCATATGTCATCAGGAATTAATAACCCTCTTTTTGACCACAATAATAATCAGCAGTAACAACTTATTACAGTAATTTATTCTGTGAAGTATGGAGATTACAAAGCATACCATCTAAGTTGCGGCATGGGCCTTCTGCACCTGATCAGAATAAAGTAATCATTTCAATGGTTTTAAATTCCAAATCTGTGCTGGTTCCCTGGTAGACTAGAATTTGGGAAATTGAAGGGGAGTCCTGAAATAGTAACGTTAAAATAGATCAGACGACATATCCACGTAGTGTCCTGGGGTTGCTAAAACTTGCATGTTTGGAAGGGTTGTAGAAGATGGCATTTTATTTTATTATATGGAAACTTTCCAAAATATACAGAAATAAAGAGAGTAGTGCCGTAAATCTCTGTGCACTTGTCACCTGCTGTCCGCAGTTACCACCAGTTGGCCAGACTAGTTTCATCTGTGCCTCTGTTTTCTTCCCCAAGGTCATTTTGAAGCAAATCATAAACAGCATATAATTTTCCTCTGTAGATATTTCAGTAGATAGAAGATGGGATTTTAAGTAGGAACTTTTTCCGTTAATGTGACTTTGCTGCTGAGTATGTCTTATAGGTATTTGGGGAAATGTTTTGTTTAAGGTGATAAATGTGTTGGCCTGGGAGCTGGTGAATAAGGTTGGTTTCCCCGGGGCGGGGGGCGGGGCGCCTTAAAGACAGTTCCATTTTGGGGTCAGTATCTCTTAGAAAGGAAGTGTATGAAGAATAAAAGTTCATTCTAGGTTAGTCACGGAAACAGGAAAATGAGACGTAAAAGCTGTGATTACATCATAACTTTTATGTTTCTTTAATATTTTCTTTTAAAAGTTCGTGGAAAGTAACTGACTTTTCCATTATGGCCCATTTAAGAGAAAATATATATCTTTCTTAAAAATTTAAAAAGATTGATTGCGATTGTACTGTTTGTTCAGGTTGTATAATTTTTTGAGGACCACTTTGAGCCAGAACTTTGATCCTCGCGACGTTCTTTCCAGGCACATCTATTGTATTCATTTTATAGACGAGAAAACTAGAACCCAATCGCTAAATAATTTACTAAAGTTTACTGGATTTTTAAATGTCAGTACCAAGGTTTAACTGGGGTCTGACTCTAAAGTCCACGTTTTTCGTAGTATGATAAAGAGTAAATATTTCCGGAACCCATCGAGTAGCCAAATTGTCCTGAGGTAGGGGTAGCAGATTAAGAATTCAGATCTCTTCTTGGTATTTTTAAAGAAGAAAATGCCTATACTTTTACTGGCAGTCAGAGTTGGGGTTTTTTGTTTTTTTCTGATTGAGAAACAGAGGCAGTGAAGCTCTGGCTGTGTGTTTGTCTCTCTCAATTTCTGTGGCTGCGTTTCTGTCCAAGACACCTGACTTTTGGTTCTTAGTTTGGTTGTACTCAAGTGAAGAAAACTTAGTGTGCATCTGACAAAATCCAACACCCATTCATGATACAAACTCTCAGCAAACTAGGAATAGAGAAGAATTTCCTCAACTTGACAAAAAGCATCTGCAAAAAACCCTCAGGTAATATGTTTCTTAATGGTGAAAAGCTAGATGCTTTCACCCTAAGATTGAGAACAAGGCCAAGATGTCTGTCTTACCATTTCTATTCAACATCTACTTGAAGTCCTAGCTAATCAATAAGAGAAGGAGAGGGAATAAAAGTTAAACAGATTGGGGAGAAAGAAATAAAACTGTCTTTGCTTACAGAGGCATGATCATCTCTGTAGAAAATCCCAAAGAATCAACAAATACCTGCTGGAGCTTAAAAGCTATTATAGCGATGTTGCAGGATACAAAAGTCAATTGCGTTCCTATATGCCAGCAGTGAACAATTGGAATTTGAAATTAAGCACTGTTTACATTAGCCTGAAAAAAGGAAAAGAAAAGAATACATACATACATACTTACATATAGCTCCAACAAAATATGTACAATAAATATGAGGAAAACTATAAAACTTTGATGAAAAACTTCAAAGATTTAAGAAATGGAGAGATATTCTATGTTCATGGATAGGAAGACGTAATGTTGTTAAGATGTTGGTTTTTCCAACTTAGTCTATAGATTCAACACAATCCCAATCAAAATCCAGCAAGTTATTTTGTGGATATCACAAACTAATTCTAAAGGTTATATGGAAAAGCAAAAGACCCAGAACAGCCAACACAACATTGAAGGAGAAGAACGAAGTTGTAGGACTGACACTACCCGATTTCAAGACTTGCTCTAAAGCTACAGTAATCAAGACAGTGTGGTCTTGGTGAAAGAACAGACAAATAGAGCAATGGGACAGAACAGAGCCCAGAAATAGACCCACACAGGCATAGTCAAGTGATCTTTGCCAAAGGACAGAGGCAATACAATGGAGCAAAGATAGTCTTCAACAAATGGTGCTGAATAACTGGACATCCACATGCAAAAAAATGAGTCTAGATACAGATTTGTACTTTTCTCAAAATTAACTCGAAATGGATCAGTCACAGACCTAAATGTAAAATGCACAACTATAACAGTCCTAGGTGGTAACAGGAGAAATCTAGGTGACCTTGGGTTTGGCAGTGAGTTTTTGGATACAACACCACAAACACTAACCATGAAAGGTAAAATTGATAAGTTGGACTTCAATTAAAATAAAAAATTTCTTTTCTTCAAAAGACACTGTTGAGAGAATTAAAAGAGAAGCCACTGACTGAGAGAAAATATTTGCAAAACACACAGCCCATGAAGGACTGATGTCAAACAATACAGGGGAGATAAGGGTGTTGGGGCGGGGCGGGGGAGGACCTAGAAAATTAATTTCTTTTCTGAACCTCCAGAGCCCCTCTTGGAGTTCCTCAGCCCTATTTACTGGGGCCACCCTGAGAAGGGAAGTGAAAATATGGGGTGGGGGACCACTCCTTTGTTTTCACCCTCATTAATGAACTTCATCACGAAAGGTAAAATCGCCTTGTCAATGTAAATTAGAACAGAAAATTCCTTATATCTCTCTAAGCAGTCGGAAACTTCAGGTGAAGAAGCTTTTCTCTGAAACCATGGATGTGCTGTGAAGTATGTGTGAAAAACACTTTCAGGATGTGTTGGATAGTTTAGCGCCGTGCCAGGCCTTAGTGATTATATTACATTTTCAAGAGCTTGTGTTTGAGACCTTGGCATTAAAGGAGCTCTCGGTGGGAGTCTGGTAGCTGTCTGAATCTGCAGTGACAGCATGCCCCCTGATGAGAGCTGATGTGGTGCTGTTCAGATGCGGAGAGACGGCGAGGACCACCGTGCAGGGGGCAGAGCGCCTTCTCATTCTTCAGTACACCATAGTCACTAAAAGGCAAAAACTCGTCCAGTGGAATTGTAAAAACAGTTTCCAGGCTCAGTGTTCGCTGTAGGTTAGTGACATCAGGGACATTGTTGTTTTCAGCACAAAAGTTAGAGAAACTCTCCTCCTGAGGCAAAAATGAAAGGTTTGGAGAATAAGTGGTGGCCAGGACTCTTCTCCCTGGTACCTCTCCCTTCCCTCCAGATGGAGGAAGGGCTTTCCTCCGTGTGGATCTGTGGAACTCTCCCACTGCGTGGGGGCCGCCTCCAGACTGGGGCAGGACCACCCAGTAATGGTGACTTCTATTTTAGCTTTCTGTCACCACCTAGTCACAATGTCACAGCAGAGAGAGCTTACAAAAAATTACAATCAAGGAAAAATGCTAAACGTGTATGTTCTGAGTTAACGATCATAGGTTTATATTTTATGAAAGACATTTACTAGTAAAACTATTAAGCTACTTGTTGTTACCTTGAGTTGTCTGGAATTAGGTCTTTCACATATGCTGCTTTTGGGGTGCATGCTCTGTGTTAACAGGTTGTTTTTGTAGTCAACAAATTGATAAAATATCTGCAAACACTCTAAATTTTGAATTATGAGTTTTGTATCTAAAACTAAACATTTTGCACTTTGAAATCCAGTGCTACTTATGAGGCAGGGTACCCCTGCAAAAAGGGAAAGGTGATCAGAATGACACCTTTTTGTTTCTCTTTTATGCAGTACACATTTTGGAACTTCATACCCAAGAACTTATTTGAGCAGTTCAGAAGAATAGCCAACTTTTATTTTCTTATCATATTTCTGGTCCAGGTAAGGCCGGTCATCTTTTTCTGTGACCTCAAGTGTAAATGTAGGTAAGTGACCTTTTGTCCTCAGGTGATTGACTGTGGTTTGCTAGTAAGGGGGAGTGAGGACCTGGTGCCTCTGACTGCAGTGCCTTCACTCATTTTCTTCAAGGACGAGCGCGTTGGTTCAGAGAGACCTATGGGCTAACACACACACGAGCACTCCGTGTTCGTGTCGGCCCTGGCTGCCTCTGTCCTTGACCTTCCAGTCCTGCGGGGGCATCATCGTTAGGAGAAATTCATCAGCCATGCTGAGCATTATTATACTTATCCGCTTCCTGAGTGCTCCAAAGAAAACAGAAAGAAAGTAAAAAGAGAGAAAACCACAGTGGGGTGTGAATGAGGGAATAGGTCAGTGTGTTAAGAACAGTCTAATTTTTCACGATCGTACAAAATACAGTTGAGGGACTTTGAAAGTTTCCCCAACATCAAATTATCCAAATAATGTAATTAAAGTGTGGCACCAGGAGCAGAATGATTTAAATTAAATTAAAATGTACCCTGGAATGAGGCTTGTGTCTTTGCCACGGCTAATGTGGCTTTGTTAAGCACGTCCCTTAATTAAAGAGAACTGCCCTCGGTTTTATATGCCTTGGGAAAGTAGGACGACTTACTTCTCATCTAATTTGTCTCTAGTGGTGGGATCAAGTGAGGTGACAAGAGAGCGATTTAAAATAAGTGGAAGCAGGTATTGGGTGTTGGTGTCACAGGGCCAGCCCATCTGTCTAAAGCCACTAATGTGTGTTTTTGAAAATGGTTCTACGATTCTCTTTTAATTGCAGTTGATTATTGACACACCCACAAGTCCAGTGACGAGTGGACTTCCACTGTTCTTTGTCATTACTGTCACAGCTATCAAACAGGTAAGAATTCTACGGACAAAAGGAAGAAAGTCCTATGTAAGTAACTTGTGTTATATGATGTCGCCTTTTATCCAAAGCAATCTGGTTCGTTTTAGCTCTTTCATAGAAAATTTAACTAAGTTCTAGAAATTCATTTTTGTAACTGTTTTAGATTGATGCTTGAGTTAAAACAGAGATATTGTGTAATTAGTGGGTAGTTAGGTGCCCCTTGAGTTTGAGGAGGAAGCCATGGTTTTCACATTCTGAGTCAAGCAGAGACAGTGTCCTGGGGTAGATGAGTTGCTTAACCTGTCTGTGTTCTCGGCTGTCTTAGCCACAAGGACCTGCTACACACAGAGGGTCTAGGATGTGGCTTTGTGATAGAGCGTGCCAGCTCCTGACTCACTCACTCTGGATGGAGTTGTTCTTTCTGCACCTGGTGACTAGAGCCAGTGACTAACGTAAGGAGAATGCGTCTCAGTTATTTCCGCTATCCTCTTAGCCAGTTTAGTGCTGCAACCATCACCACTATCTAGGTCCAGAAAATTTCCATCACCTCAAAAAGAAACCCCGCACCCATGAGCAGTCACTCCCCATTCCCCTGTCCCCAGCCCCTGGCCACCAGCAATGTACTTTCTGTCTCTGTGACTTTGCCTGTTCTGGACATTTCATATTAACAGAATCGTACACGGTGTGTCCTTTTGTGTCTGGCTTATTTCACTGAGCATAATGTTTTCAAGCTTCATCCACATAGTAGCATGTGTCAGTGCTTCATCCCTTTTGAAGGATGAATAATATTCTATCATGTGGACAGACCACGTGTTGTTTATCCATCCATCAGCTGATGGTCATTTGGGACGCTTCTCCTTTTTGGCTGTTGTTAATAACGCTCTTATGAGCATTCACATACGTTTTGTGTGGATGGAGGTTCTCAATTCTCTTGGTTACTAATGTGGGGGAAGAATTGCTCTAATGTTTTGAGGAACTGAGGTTTTGAGAGGTTTTGAGAAACCCAAGTGTTCTCCACAGTGACTGCAGCATTTCACATTCCCACCAGCAGTGTGTGAGGCTCCGGTTTCTCTGCCTCCTCGCGAACACTTCTTCCCATCTTTGTTATTGTCGCCATCCTAGAGGTGTGAAGTGTCTCCTTGGGGTTTTGATTTGCTTTTCCTCAGTGACTGATGATATTTGAGCATCTTTACGTGTGCTTATTGGCCATTTGTAGAGAAATGTCTTCAAATCCTTTGCCCGTTTTAAAATTGGGTTGTCTTTTTATCCATGAGTTGCAAGAATTCTTTATAGGTTCTAGATACAAGTCCCTTTTCTGCTGCAAACTCTTGAACCCAGTGATGTTTGCATTTTGGTGTTGATAGGTCAATCTTTCATTTGAGACATCTGGATAATTTGCAAAACGAAAGCTTCTAGTTAAATTCTTTTTTTTTAAAGCGTTTTTAATTTTATTTATTTATTTTTTTTCCCCCAAAGCCCCAGTAGATAGTTGTATGTCATAGTTGCACATCCTTCTATTTGTTGTATGTGGGACGCGGCCTCAGCATAGCCGGAGAAGCGGTGCGTCCGTGCGCACCTGGGATCCGAACCCAGGCCGCCAGCAGCGGAGCGCACGCGCTTAACCGCTAAGCTACGGGGCCGGCCCTCTAGTTAAATTCTTGATGGTCAGTTCTTGCTGATGAAGCCATGCTTTTCTGGTGTTAGTCTTTAACTGAAACGTATATTTTACGTGAGACATGCAGGGTGTGAAGGCAGCCACTGGGTGACAGTGGTAATGGTGACAGATCACAGAGGGATTTACTTGAGATTAAGGAAGGACGTGGAATGAGTCACGAGGCTGCCTTCTCGAGAGTGTGTGTGAGTGCCCGCAATCCGCCTCCTGGTGGTCTGGCTGGTCTTTGATACAAGCACGTCTGGACTGGTATTTTTTTAATGCAGAACTTCGAGGAGCATTTAATGACTGCTTCGTGTTAGTTTGGCTTTTATTTTTCACTCACCAGTAATCTGGAAATACAGATTTTGAATAACAATGTGGTTTTACTTCATACCTGTTAAATTGGCTTTTAAATGTGAAAGTCTGAAGAGCTGATGGGGATAAGAATGTGGTGACACAGGCGTCCACATGCTGTGATGGGAGCCTCGTGGAACCATGTTGGAGAACGATCTGGGAACATCTGATAAAGTCGAGGGCGTGAGCACCAGGGACGCTTGGTATAGACGGTGTGCAGTCTGTACATTTGGTATATATTGTGTGTGTGTCTTAGAATGGACCACAGAGACCAGGCCATGTGCCCTGGGATGTTCACTGCAGCCGTCTTTGTGGTAGAAAACTAGGGACAACCCAGATATCCTTCATCGAGGTTGTGTATACACCATCGTGTGTGTGGTGGAAAACAGAGCAGTGGGCTGTGAGCGCAAGGCCGGCCTGGGCCCAGTGCTGCCCCCTCCCAGCCCAGGGTCACCTCGGCCTGGCTGGGACCCCTCGGGGCACAGGCAGCAGCCCCCCAGGGGTTTGTGGAGAGGATGAAGTGAGGTCATCTCTCTCCGGAGCTCTGATCTGCCAGGACTGCCCATTCCCACAGTGGCCTTCAGCTTCCCTGCCTCCACCTTTGCCCGGTCCCCCCTCTCCTCCACACAGCCGCTCCACTGTCCTCCTCTGACCGAGCCCTGGCTCTTAGGGGTGACCTCAAGCCTCCCCCCTCCACCTGCTTCCTGTTCTGTCCACTTGTCACTTTCCCTCTCCTCCTCACCTTCACCAGCCGCGTCTGGACGTCCTCTACCCACCAGCTTTTAGACCTGAAGACCTAACTGCCCTCAGTCTTGCCTTCCCCAGGGGCCTCAGCCGCTCATGCTGGGCATCAGTTCCCTTCCCCTCTTAGCTCAGAGGCCCCCTTCCGTGGAGCCTGCTGCCTGGCTGGCTCCTACACGCTCTTCTCACCTGGCGCTCAACAGCATCTGACGTCTGGCCGCCTCTGTCCTGCAGCTTTCAGTGAGCCTGCGCGGGCACCCACAGCCCTTCGGACGGCCCCACTCACTGACCCCGCCTGGTGCTCCTCGCCCTTGGGTCCACACGCTTCAGCCCCCAGGCTGGCTGGTTCCCAGCTCCCCACCCACGTCCGCTCCTGCCGCCTCTTGGCGTTTCCCCGCGTTATCATCTCTGCCTTTCTGGGCAAACACTCTGCATCCCCTGAGACCGGCTCTGATGCCTCTCCCTCTGAGACCCCGCACCCCAGGACTGGGTGCTCCTTGTTGGTGTCACGAATCTCACTGTTATGTAACTGACTTTCCCACGGATCCAGAGAACCACAACAATAGGGATCATGCCATTTGTTTCGAGCACACAGTTGGTGTTAGGTGTTAAATACGGGTTTGACGAACCCAGGAATCATCTACCCTTTGCTTCCTTCCAGTCCTTCTATTTTCCTACAAAGAGAATATTTTAACAATTGGGGAGAAATGTCTGGAAAAGCAGTCAGACATCCAGGGTCCCTCTGTAAGGATCACAACCGGGGAAAGTCCCTCATGCTGGGCCCTCCATCCCCAGGGACCTGTTAGCTTCCGAAAGTGGGAGGTGCTGTCACCTGGGTTTCCTGGTGTCTCTCCTATTCGAGGAGACTCCAGTGCAGAGATTGTCAGGTGGGCAGGTCAGGGAGAAGACGCTTGCAGTGCCTGCTCCCTCTGCGGCCTGCACGTCACGCAGAGCCCCGCTCCCCACAAATGTGCTCACAGGCACTGTGATGGGACCCACAAATGTCACTTCTGTGTGGCGGTGTGCGTTGCTGTGTGTGGCCACATCTGGAGATGTAGACGGCTCTCAAGCGCCTAGTTTTCCTTTCATGTGTTGAGAAATGTCACAGAGAAGACAGAATTCATCATCCTTAACCCAAACGCACTTTCACATCCATAAAACCCAACTCGAAAGGCATGTTAGTCAACGTAGAAGACTTTTACCTGCTGCACCTCCTAGTGTCGCTTCTTTCAGAATTCTGCACCAAACTCTTCGGCCACATGTGTGTATTTTTCCCAAACTTGTATTTGGGAAAGAATTTGAATTTCTGTATTGTGCCTGTTTAAGAGCAAAAGGATTTAGCAGAGTTGTTAGTTATGAGAATTAGGTCAGGCTGCTTTTGCAGTGTCCGAGTTTACGTGGGAACAGCTGATATTGATAATTTCCAGTGTTTGTTACGATCAGTAGAACGCGTATGTGCGTGGAGACGGGTGAGGCCTCTGTGGGTGTCGCAGAGTGGGTCAGGCGATTTACTAAGTTTGCTGAGCCTGGGGTGCCAGACCCAGTAAGAGTCAGTCAGGGGGTGTTTGTAGGCTGGCTTGTGCCTTTCAAGGTGGAACGTTCAAGGTCAGCTGGTGGAAATAGCCTCGGCCCCAAGTTTCTTGAGGACTTTTAGGCGGTTCATATGAAAAGCCTAAAACTCTTGTTCATGTTTGACTCAGACATTTTGTTTTTAGGAATCTGTGCTAAGAATATGTCATGGATATGTACAAACGTGTAGTTACAAAGAAATTTATCAGAGTATATTTATAACTACAAAAATTTAAAGCAACCCGAATTGCCGTGGACAAATGTCCATGATACACACAGGGTACAAAGTGGACTAGTGTGTACAGTATGACCCTGATGTTGAGAAATACGCCTCCATAGATTATGTTCATATATACTTAAATTCATGTGTTAACAGTACTTCTTACTGAGCAATAGGATTAGAACTTTTTTAGTTTCTTTTTTTAGGAGGTGATTTATTTATTTTCTATTTTGTCCACAAAACATATAATTTTTTGTACCATAGAAAGTAAAAACTAATTTTGGAAAGTTCTTTTGCTTTTTTATTTATGTCTTGATTTTGTTCCCCAAAATGAAACCCCTCCTCCTGCACCAGGTGGGAGGAGAAGGCCAGGTGGCAGGTCCAGAAACAGTGGGTGGAACACAGGTCCAGGCCAGTCGTTAGAAAGTATTTTCTTTGCTAATTTCCTGCATTACACGTTTCCTTTATTCCTTTCTTCTACAGTCTGTGTTGAGCTTCTGCCATGTACTGAGCCTTTTTCTAGGCCCTGGAGATGACAATGTTGAGCAGGAGACATTTTGGTGAGGGAGGCAGACACCAAGAAGGCATGGGTACACACACGTGTACACACGCACACACTCGTGTATGCACACGTGCACTGTGGGGGCAGCACAGTGCTGGCGGTGGAGCCTCTGACGTGCTCTCCCGGTCAGCGAGGGCCTGTGCCTGGAGGAAGGGGAGCAGGAGCCCCCGGCCCCAGCCATGAGCCGGTCCTGGCCCTCGGGGACCCCAGGCCGTGGCCCTGGCAGTGAGCACCCTGGCGCAGTCCCCACGGTGGACTCGAGATTGGGCATTTGACGCGTGTCCCGACAGGAGAGAGTTTGGGAAGCTCCCGTTAGATGGAGTGGAGTCGGGGCTCCCGGGACGGGGCGGGGGTAGTCGTGGCCCATTCATTCTGGTGAAAGAACACAGGGAGGGCGGCCTCCTGGAGGCCCAGGGAAGGGTGGGGCCTTGACCACAGGGCGGCTGGGACATGAAGTGGGAGATTTAGGATCCCTGTGAGGGAAAAGCGCCAGGACTGGCGAGTGAGTGGGTCTCGGTGTGGGAATGGGAGACCCAACGAGACTCGTGGTTTTCCCGAGGCCTTGCTCGTCCAGTGGGCTAAAGCTCCTGCACTGGACCCAAGGTCAGCGCCAGTCTCCACAAAGTCCAGAAGGATGCGCTTGGAGCGAGGCCCCTCCACGGCGCTCTGGCTCCTCACATGGGATTCTCTTCCTTCTTAGGGCTATGAAGACTGGCTTCGCCATAAAGCGGACAACGCCATGAACCAGTGCCCCGTGCACTTCATTCAGCACGGCAAGCTGGTCCGAAAGCAGAGCCGGAAGCTGAGGGTGAGTGACCGCTGATGGTTTAGCCGCTTAAAACCAATAGCAGTACAAGAACAAGGGACAACGTTGTGAGTTTTATTTTCTTTGGCAAAACCTCTGTCTGAAATTGTTTTTTGGGGGTATAGGCCCAACCTCTTCCCCAAATACTTCTCACTTCAGTCAGGCTCCGCCTGCTGTCTTTTTAAAAACTTTTTATTTATTTTTAAAATTTTTTTTTTTTTTTTAAAGATTTTATTTATTTTATTTTTTCCCCCCAAAGCCCCAGTAGATAGTTGTATGTCATAGCTGCACATCCTTCTAGTTGCTGTATGTGGGACTCGGCCTCAGGATGGACGGAGAAGTGGTGCCTCGATGCGCACCCGGGATCCGAACCCGAGCCACCAGCATTGCAGCCGGGATCCGAACCCGAGCCACCAGCATTGCAGCGCGCGCACTTAACCACCAAGCCACAGGGCCGGCCCTATTTTTAAAATTTTAATAAACTCTATTTTTTAGAGCAGGTTTAGGCTCACAGCAGAATCCAGTGGAAACTACAGGGATTTCCTGCCCGCCCCCACAGCCTCCCTGGGATCAGCACTCCCGCCGGGTGTCTGAGTGTGTGAGGTCACACTAACCAGTCAAGACGGAGAACACTCTGGAACACTTTTAGAACATTTGTTTTAGAACAAAGCAAATCGTATCAATATAAATTCCACTAGGTAGAAATTTATGAAGATTGGGGCAGAAACCTCACTGCAGTTTTTGTTTTAAATTCTTTTTTTTTTTGATGGAGTATTAGATGTATCACGACGTGTTTAAATGTGTCTGAATTATCTTCAAACCTGCATGGCCAGTTAGAAATGCCTGTATGTGCACAAATGATGAGGGTGATTTCAAGGTTTGTCCTGGGTGATGCTTAGCTGGAGCCTTGGGGCGGAGCCTGGCCGTTCTCCTGCCTCCTGCTCTGCCGCCCCGCCCTCCCCGCTCGCCAGGCAATACCTCGTCTCTCTGGGCTGCTTTCCTGGCCAGAAACCGAGCAGGGCTGTCAGGAAGTTACAGAATCATATTCATGAATTATACACATTACTGTATGTATCTTTAAGTTTTTAAACCACATTTTCGTGGTTTAATAAATTTCACCATCCAGATATTTTAGTGATTCTGAACTTCCCCTCAGTCAGCCTCGATTGGCAGTGTTTTCCTAGTGGTCATGGGGTCAGAGGAGAGGGGCTGGGAGGACAGGCCTCACCTGCGTGGGGACCATGAGCATGTGTTAATGGGCTCTTTTAGACCCCAGGCCCTAAATGCAGTTTCCTTTAATGACTATGTTTGCTTTGCAAAGTCTTCCATATTTTTAATAAACATCTCTTTCTTAAAAAACAGACTTAGGGGGCCGGCCTGGTGGGGTAGTGGTTAAGTTTGCGTGCTCCACTTCAGTGGCCCAGGGTTTGGATCCCAGGCGTGAACCTACACACTGCTCATCAAGCCATCCTGTGGCAGTGTCCCATATACAAAGTAGAGGAAGATGGGCACAGATGTTAGTTCAGGGCCACTTATCCTCTCCTAAAAAAAGAAACAAACAAACAAAAATAGACCTAAGCAGTGTCTACAAGCAGAAAATTGAATTTTTAATGCACTGATCTCCTATGGAGACTGTCTGCTATGTATCTGGCCTGTTCTAACGGAGAGGATTCTAAATCGACCCTGAGACAAGAAGAAAGATCAGGCTGTCCCTACAAGACTAGGCTTCGGCTCTTGTGGGCCATAATGACGCAGGCCTTCAGAGTGTGCCCGAGGCTGGTGGAAAAGGAAACTCTCTAATTTGTCCATCCCTAAGATTTTGTCATTTCAAGAATGTCATTATATAATTGGACTCGTACAGTCTGTAACCTTAGGGACTGGCTCTTTTCGCTCAGCCCAGTTCCCTTGAGATTCACCGTTGTGTGCATTAGTGGTGCCTTCCTCTTGTTGCCGAGTCTGTGTGCAGGGTGGACCACAGTGTGCTTACATTCACCAGTTGAAGGACATGTAGGTATTTTCCAATTTGGGACTATTATGGGTAAAGCTGCTATGAACATTTGTGTATAGGTTTTTGTGTGAATGTACTTTACATTTTTCTGGCATAAAAACTCAAGAGTTAGTTGCTGGGTCATACAGTGAATCCGTTTTTAGTTTTGGAAGGAACTGCCAGGCCATTTCCCAGGGTGTCTGCACCACTTTGCACCCCACCAGCAACATATGAGCAGTCCAGTTGCTCCACATCCTCGCCAGCCCGGGGTGTTGGCGTGTTTGTTATTTCAGTCCTTGTGATGTCTCGGTGTGGTTTAAATGTGCATTTCCCCAGTGGCCCTTGTGCTCATTTGCCATCTGTGTATTCTTTTCCCTGAAAAAAACTCTTCATATCTTTTATCCATTTTCTAGTTGGATTATATGAGGGTTTTTTACTGTTCAATTTTGAGAGTTCACGTACTCTAAGTATTAGTCCCTTATCAGAAATACCTTGATGGGGTATTTCGAAAAGCAAACTTGTTAATTTTGATGAAGTCCAATTTATTGATTTTTCCTTTCATGGGTCATGCTTTTAGTATCAAGATTAAGAACTCTGTGCTTGGGGGCCAGCCCGGTGGCGTAGTGGTTAAATTTGTGTGCTCCACTTTGGCAGCCCTGGGGTTCATGGGTTCGGATCCCGAGTGCAGACCTACACACTACTCGTCAGGCCATGCTGTGGCAGCATCCCATATACAAAATAGAGAGGAAGATGGGCACAGATGTTACCTCAGAGCCAATCTTCCTCACAAAAAAGAAAACAAAAAAACCCAAAACTCTGTGCCTTACTCTGGAGCCCAAGGATTTTCTCCTATGTTTTTTCCTAAAAGTTTTATAGTTTCACGTTTTGTGTTTAAGCTTGTGATCCATTTTGAATTAGTTTTTTAATAAAGTGTGAGGTTTAGGTCAAAGTTCCTTTTTCGGCCTTGGCTGCCCGATGGCTCTGGCACCCTTTGTGGGAAGGCCGTCCCTCCTCCGCTGAGTTGCTTTGCACCTTTGTCAGGAGTCAGCTAAGCGTGTTTGCGGGTCTGTTTCTGGGTTCTCTGTTCTCTTCCCTTGGTCTCTGTGTCAGTGCTCCACCAAGGCTGCCACCGTCCTGATTGCTGCAGCTGCAAAGCGAGCCTTCACAGGGCAGTGACTCCTCCACACCCTTCTTCTAGTTGCTGTAGCCACTCTGGGCCTGCGCCTTTCGACTTAAATTTAGCATAAGCTCATCGATGTCTACAAAAATCCTTGCTGGGATTTTGATAGGCATTTCACTAAACCCGTATTCTATTGGGGGAGAGAGAGTAACCCTCCAGTCTTAAGTTCTCAGACACTCAGTGTGAGCTGGGACCATATGTGGTGTGACAGGGACCCCCACGTGTAGTTTAGCCGGAAGCTTGGTGATGTCCCGAGTCTGCGAGCATCTTGTAAGTAGCAGCAAGACCGTCCAACCTATTGGAAGGATATTGAACCCACGAGCTAGCCACCCAATTTGTGGGGTTTGGATGGTCATTTACCTTCCAGATGCACAGTCCAAAGTCACGATCAGAGAAAAGGGCCTTTCTGAGTGGTCATTCAGATGCCTTCCTTGGTGGTGACAACAAAACTGTGATGGTTACGTCCTACTTAAAATCTGTATGGCAAACATTCTGTGGCTCATTTTCACTTTAGTTTTTGCGGTATAATCGCCACCTCTGCTTTCTTCTTAGTCATGCTCACGTGGTCTGGACCGGGTCTTGGTTCTGTTGTTCGGCCAGCTCTTAGAACTCTCACCTGGTTTATACAACACCTAGCTGTAGATCAGCACCTTCCTGCAGGAGTAACCCCACTCAGATGCATTAACAAGCACTTGAACTTGTCCTGCTTGGGCTGAGTCAAGGATAATCCTGTTATGGATGTTTGTCTGTGTTTCCATTGCAAAATATTCTGTCATAGTGCACTTGGGTGCTTCCTGGATCTAAAATTGGCATCAAAACCTCACCTGGTCTTTCCTTGGTTTGGGCAGAATGCCTGGGAAGTGATCTTTCTCTAGAGTCGAGTTAGCATCCTCATATCTTCCTGCAAACAAACACCATGATGGTGTCTGTGAGTATCGGCTGACACTGTGGAGAGAGAATCCCCCGCACTGTGGAGCCACCGCACAGAGGTGGGTTTCATTAATGTCTGTCTGTCTGTCTGGCAGGTTGGGGACATTGTCATGGTCAAGGAGGATGAGACCTTCCCCTGTGACTTGGTCTTCCTCTCCAGCAGCCGCGGAGATGGGACCTGCCACGTGACAACCGCCAGCTTGGATGGAGAATCGAGTCACAAAGTAAGGTGCCTTTCACTGGGGACCCCATCTGGGCCGTCCTTCCGTCCCCAGCTTGTGTGGCCAGAACCACGTCGTGTCTGACAGCCCCGTGTCCTCAGTGGTCATAGGGAGTCGTGCCGCCACGTTGTTTCCTCCCTTTCGCTTCTTTCTATTTTCCACTTTTTTCTTTCCACCTTCAGTGTCTGTAACAACCACCCATCTCAGGTTAACAGAAAAAGCTTCGTGTTATTTATTTAGTTGTGTCATTTAGCGGAGGTAAATTACATTACATTACATTACATCAAATTAAGGATGTAATGAATAGATGGTTGGAATTTGGAAACTTTTCGTTTTACCAGTCAGAATTCGTGTCTTTACTAGCCTGGAATTATGTGAAGAGTCACCGTGAGTCTAGATTTTGCCTCACCGTTACTTCAGTGAGTGTCTTTTTATTAAAAGAGCTTAATAGGGATTTTCTGAAATTGTAATTAATTTATTACATTCAGTATGGAATTCTGTACTGGCAGCTAGTGCTATAAATTTTTAATTAACAATCATAAAAGAATAGAACATATCACTATTAATTTTTTTTTTTTTTTAAAGATTTTATTTATTCAGTTTTTTTCCCCCCAAAGCCCCAGTAGATAGTTGTACGTCATAGGTTCACATCCTTCTAGTTGCTGTACGTGGGACTCGGCCTCGCGTTGGAC